TTAGAAAGAACGTCTGGGGTTTGGAAAGCAAGATGGCCGATGATAAAGAGGATATCCCACGAAACTACAAGTTGGGCGACCCAAGTCAAACTTGTTTGTGCAACAATGGCAATTCATAATTTCATCCGACTCAGTGAGTTTCCGCGATATTGCATTTGACTCTTATGATAGATTCGCGGATTATGTGCCTAATGAAGAGGAAGGATCTTCATCTCAACAAGCACGCCATGGAAATGATGTTGACTATGATGACACTGAGATGGAAGTGAGGAGACATAATATTTGTATGTCAATTTGCTGATGAAATTAGGAGATCTTTAAATATGTATGAAGTTTAATTTTATTGCTTTAATAGTATTTCTTGTATTTTTATTGGCAATAAAAATTTTTTTGTTTCCTTTTCAACTCAATATTATTACAAAAAACATTAAAAAAATAAAAAAAAAGTAAGAAAATAAATTTGAGGTCATGAAATGTACAAAATAGGTACTAATTAATCAACTTCCATTAATGAAATAACTTTTTCACAATTTAAAGAAAAGAAATGAAAAAATTAAAAATTTCTGTTCATATCGGGCAAAAAGGACAATTATACAGCAAAAAGCTATTTTACAAGCTTATTTACCAAACACTACTCTGCTGCTTAAATCTAAAATCCCACAGTTAACCAAACAGGTTACTAGCTTATCTCACAGCTATAAGCTATAATCTGTTAAGCTATAATCTATAATCACTATTTCAACAGCTCTACCAAACGGGGCCAATACAGCTTATAGCTTTTTGTAAGTCAAAAATCAACTTATTCTTTGAGTGTGGGAGGAGAAGTTTAATTTATAAGTCAAAAATCAACTTATATTCACAGCTATAAGCTATAAGCTGTTAAGTTATAAGCTATAATCACTCCCACAACTCTACCAACGGGGCCTTTAATGAAAAGTCTCTTCTTCATTCCCTACCATTGCTAATGCCTTGCCTCCCTTCCTCACCTACACCCCAAGCAGGAGAGAGAGAGGAAAAAGAAAGAAAGAGAACAAAATCGTGAAACCCAAATCATTGTCGCTGCCTCCAACCAACACCTCTCTTTTTTTCCCTTCCTCTTCCTACCTCATGCAAAACTAGATTTGGTTTAGCATAATTGCAATATCGCCACACGATCTCTCCCCATCTCTCTCTCTCTCACGATCTCATAGTGGAAACAATTACAAGTTGGGAAGGAAATTAGCTGTGGCAGCGGTGGCGGCGATGGCCGTTAGGCGAGGGTTGGGTTTTGGAATTTAGAATAAGAAAATTACTAATCCTGTTGACTAGACTTATGTAGGGGTGCAACTTAGGCGGGCTCAACCCGAGCAACCCGAGCCCATCTTGAATTTTTTTTAGGGCTTGTACAAATATTTTCAAATTCGGTACGGGCTTGGGCAAAATTCAGAAACCCGAATTAAATTTGAATGGGTTGGGCAAAGATGTCAAGCAACCCGAGCAACCCGAAGCCTGAGTTATACATATATAGATATATAAAATATTAAATATATTATAAATTATTAGCTCATACCATGATATTAAAATAATTTATATTATTAAATCATATTGAATATATATATTATATAAATAGCATAAAATCTTACTTTTTTTCTTTTTATATTTTCACTCATAAATTGTAAGGACTACTATAGTGGCATCTCTCTTACATTATATAAATTATTTGTTTTGATGGTATTAATGATTTTTCTATTTTTTTTTTAAAAAATTGTAAACAGAGTCAAATTTTAATAATTTAATAATGTAGCTGGGAAAAAAAAATTGAATTCATTTACAATTCGGGCAATTTGGGCAACTCGAGCATTCGGGTTAAACTCGGGTTGGGCTTGGGCAGACAACCTCGGGTTACAATTCGGGCTTTGGGCGGGCTTGGGCAGGTCTCAGCCATAACTTGGGCTAGGCTTGAACAACCTCCCAACCCGACCGAACCCGCCCGAGTTGCACCCCTAGACTTATGACTAATCTATTTCCACACACCAATTCCACCTCAGTTCACACATTTAATGAAAATTTTCATTAATATAATTTTGTCTCAAAATGTAAAAATGCCATAATACCCTCATTTTCTTCTACTCAAACCTTAATTTCTAAAAATACCATAAAATTAGACTCTATTTGGTATGGTTTCAGAATATATTTTAAAAAATAATAAAAAATTTCTTATTTCAATGTAGTTTTCATCTTTTTAGGGCAAACAAATTTAAAAATTTAAAAATATTTTGGTGTATACTTCTCTAGGGAGGAAACACCCCCTAGCCAAACAAGGCTTAAACCACCATTTAGAACCTCAAAATCAAAGTTGTTTATGGTGCAAAACCAGCCCCAAAATAGTACAAAACAATGGGAAAAGGGGGATAAAGCAAGTGTGCAAAAACAAGCTTGAAAGGGAAAAGTGCTTACTCTTGAAGCACAGCAGCAAAACAGGTGCAAATCTGAGCCAAAACCAGCTTTGAGAGCTCAAATAGGACCTTCAAG